GCGCAGTCAGTTAGGCATCCGACTTCAGCCAGGTCACGATCTCGCGGTCCGGGAGTTCGAGCCCCGCGTCAGGCTCTGGGCTGATGGCTCAGAGCCTGGAGCCTGTTTCCGATTCTGTGTCTCCCTCTCTCTCTGCCCCTCCCCCGTTCATGCTCTGTCTCTCTCTGTCGCAAAGATAAATAAACGTTGAAAAAAAAAATTAAAAAAAAAAAAAAAAAGAAATTTTAAAACTTATGGTGCAGGGTAATGTCAGCAAAAGCGGCAGAGTAAAGGACTCCCAAAACTTCCTCTTTAAAATCAATGAAAAATCTGATAAAAATCGCCAGAATCAACTTTTTCAGACCTTTGGAAATTAACCAAAGCTTACAGCAACCCAGGGGGTTTTTATCCAAGAAAAATGGCTAAATCTTGGTAAGAAGAGCAAGCTTAATGACATTTTAATGTGCCCTATTCCCATCCCTCTCGCCATAGATCCATGGTAGCCTTAAAAACCAATCACCTACAATCACAGTGCAGACCAGCAGCTCAACAGCCATCAGAGGGGACAGAATGATATTGGAACTCCTTCAAAACCTCATTCCTAGAGAATTCTCATTATTTGGCCTGTCTGAGGGTTCCCTACAAAGGTCCCACTTACAAGACTATCTTTATCTGACTGGACTTGGAACTTACTCAGTGGAGTAAGTCTTTTCCCCTCGGGTGTTGGTTGGAAACCTTTAAAGATAATGGACTTTGCAGCTCCCCGAGGCAATAGACAACAGTTGGGACACACAACAGGCAAATCAAAAAGAGTAAAATGAAGAGCTAGGGAATGACATGTCCTAGGGCTTTGAAGAGGTCCAGTGTATTCCTGGGACTATAGAAATGTGTGCTTATAAAGGACAGTACAAATGCCTGGGGCTTTATTCAGGCTCCAGAAAGCCCTGAGAAGGCTCTAAGGTCTGACTCATGGCTGACCTTGGGGCACTGTGTCAGTGGAAGTGACCATGAAGGCAGAGCTGCCTACTGCCTAGCGGAGTGTTGAAGGCATGCTCCGACATGCAAACGAAATCCAAAACATGCAAACCGAGGAGTCTTATTGGTTCTTAGTGTAAGGAAGTCTTCATCCAGCTATTAGTTGAATACTAAACTAACCAAGCAGAAACACAGGTGGCCACACATGATAATGCAAAATTTACAGAATTAGTTAACCAAAGTCAATAAAGAAACACCCAAACAAGAGCTGTGACAAGGAGCAGTGGCAATAAACCTTGAGGAGATAGGAGAATCTGATTTCCAGAGCTGCTACATTGTATTATTTAAAATGTCCCATTATCAACACAAAATTACAAGACATTTAATGGGAAATACGCAAAAGTACGTGGAACAAGAAAATACAGGCCATACACAAGGGGAAAAGCAATCAGTAGGAACCATCCCTGAAGAAAACCAGATGTTGGACTTAGTAAAAAGAAAAAGAAAAAAAAAAAAGAGTTTAAATCAGATATTTTAAAACGTGTTCAAAGACTGTAAGAAAAATTATGTTTAAAGAACAAAATAAAGAATATCCCTTTATCAACATAAAGGGATATAAATTATAAATAGTAAAGATCAGGACAGAAATAAAAGAAGTAGTGAATAGAAAAGCAATACGAGAAAATAAAAGCAACAAAACCAGAAGTTAGTTCTTTGAAAACAAAACTGAGAATCCTTTAGCTGCACTGACCAAGAAAAGAAGAAAGAGGACACAATCACTAAAATGACAAAAGAGGGAGATGCTTTCCGAGTGGTTTTACAAACATAAAAAAGATTACAGGCAATAATATGAATGTAACGAGTCACACAGCCTAGATGAAATGGACAAATTCCTTGAAAAGACACAAACCACAAAACTGACTCAAGAAAAAAGAGACAGTGCTCACTCTGGCAGCACATATACTAAATCTGGAACAATACAGAGAAGATTAGCATGGCCCCGGAACAAGGATAACACGCATTTGTGAAGTGTCCCACGTTTTTCTGGGGATGGAATGTACAGCAATGGTATAATAAATACGTGACAGTGTATTATGTATTTGAAAGTCGATAAGAGAGCAGGTCTTAAAAGTCTGCATCACAAGAAAAAAAATGAACTGTGTGATAATGGGTGTTAACTAAATTTATTGTGGTGATCGTTTCATAATATATGCATATATCAAATCATTATATTGTGCACCTAAAACTAATATAATGTTATGCGTCAGCTTTATTTCAATTAAAGACAATAAGAAATATATAATCTGAATAAACCTATAACAAGTAGAGGGGTTGAATTAATTAAAAACTTCTCACAAAGAAAATCTCCGCACCAGATCACCTTGCTGATAAATCTATCGTATGGTTAAAGAAGAATTAACATCACTCCTTCACAAACACTTTGAAAAATCATAAGAGGAGTGGATACTTCTTCAGTCATTCTATAAAGCCAAAAGTGTCCTGATATCAAACCCAGACAAATCACAAGGAAAGAAAAAAACAGATTAATATCCCTTTTTGATATAGATATAAAATACCTTAATAAAATACTAGCAAACTGAATCCAGCAACATAAAAATTACAAAGGTCATATGGATATAAATATATGTATATGTACACTATGGATATTTTATATCCATAAAAGTTATATGTATTACACACATGCCTAAGTAGGCTTTATCCCAGGAATGCAAGGGTGGTTTAACATCTGAAAATCAATTAATGTAAAATAACATGATATGAAATAAAATACTGTGCCAAGTGAAAGAAGCCAGATACAAAGGACCAATTATTCAACAGCGACTTTTACCCTGAGACTTATTTTATAAGAAAGTTGACCATCATGCCTGGGATGGGCTCTAGTGGTGAGTGTTGAGGCCACAGAGATGTGGAGAGGCATCCAAGTCACTAAGGACATCTCCAAGAAAGAAGTGGTGATCTTGTAACAGAGAAGAGCATTAAGAATGTGAGAACTGCCGTACAAGTCAGATTCTTGTTCCATGCACTCTAATGTGCTTTCTTTGACAGAATTCGTTGTCACACATAGATATCCTCCTTGATATCAACCTTCAAAGAGTGAGTGGTCTCTCACCTCTAAATTCCTGAGCTGCTACTACATCTTATGCGTAAACGGATTCTGAATCGTTCCATATACACACAGCAAAGAACATTTGATATTTTAGGTAAACTGTTTCAATTCTGCAAGAGTCTTATAAACTGAAGACATTGATAGATGTAACTATTACACTGGTACTGCTGTTTGAAGGAACATTTTTCTGCCAGAGGAGAAATCCTGAAGATTATGACTTTGGAGAACCTTAAGTCAGGAGAAGACTCCAGTGAGGAAACAGTAAAGGTGAATATGAGACAATCAAAGACACATTCCCTTTTATCCTTTGTAGATGTGCTGGCATGCACATTTCCATTAACTTTGTAGCTCTAAGCCCCATAAAGGCAAGTAGTCTTGTATTCACTAACGTATCTCCAAAATCTAACTTGTTAGCATTGTTGGTGCTCAGTGATTCTAACCCTCACCATATCTGTAAGACCCAACCCCAATACCTGCTATTCATACTCAAGGCTCAAAGACAGTATTGCCTAGACAGTCATGTTGATCAAGCCAATTTGATTTTTGGTTTAATTCAACAAGAAGCAGTAGAAAATAAAGAAAACATTTCAAAGAAAATATTTTCAGCAATCATGAAATGGTGGGGGTGGGGGGCGGGACTATCTATTGGCATCAGACTTTCGTCCTATTATTACATTGTTTTCTTCCAAGTCATTTATTATTCTTTTTATATCAGAATACATAATTTGACACATTGAGGTTTTTTAAAAGATGCTACTTCCAAACGGGTCAAATTATGCTACATAAACAAGGGGTTGAGCGCTGTCTTCATTCAAGCTTATTTCTGCTTTTTAAAACAGATGACAAGCATCCCAAACTGAACTAAAAAGTGCAAGGTGGCAATCCCCATCTCCAGTCCGAACCCTCCCAAATCTCTAACTCTAACTTTTAAAACAACTCCTTTAGTGACAAAACATTACCTGACATCTATGTTATGTAATATATGCACCATATTACTTTTTACAAAAATCTGGAAAATCCTGAATTCCAAAACCAACTGAAGGGCCAAGAGGTTTGAAGGTCCAAGAGACTTGAAGAAAAAGCCTGCACGTATGTGTGTATATACATATATATGTGTCCATACATATACATATAGTGTGTGTGTGTGTGTATGTGTGTGTACACATACACATACACACTGGGATGAGAAAGGACAAATCCAAGTGTCCAAAATGCAACCTTAAAAAACAAACAAACAAAAAACCCATGTATCAGACAATACAACCTTCTTTGAAAGTGAATGAAAGTGGACTTAGTATTAGCCCTTAACATTAAAAGAAACTAAGCAAATGGGTGATGGGCATTGAGGAGGGCACTTGTTGGGATGAGCCCTGGGTGTTGTATGTAAGCCAATTTGACAATAAATTATATTCATAAAAAAAATAAAAAAAGAAACTAGGAAAATGTTTAAGTTAAACTTAAAGGCATGTTAGTGAGTAGCATATTTGAAAACAATATAAAGATATACACATATTTGAAGAAAAAGCCTATATATGTTTGCATCCAAGTATACATATGTATAGTATAAATGTATATATATGCATAGTATAAATATACATACATACACACACACACACATATATATATATGCGCAAGTATATATATACTTGCATTTAAGTAGGAAAATTAAGCAAATCACAATCTTTCTAGCACTTATTTCATGATTTGGAAAGTAAGGGGGTTGCACTAGATGACCTCCAAAATCCTGGACAGTAATTAAATTCTAGGAATCTACCTGATCAGTTTATATCCTGTGTTCAATTCTGGATTATGTTCAACTTCTATAAAATTCTGGGCACTTAGGTTTGCCCATGACATGTGACAAGCGCATATTTATTAGATATCTCTTCAACTGTGTAATTCAATCCAGGTTTAGTACCTGCTGTGCCAAACACAGAAGATATGCCTTCCACAATGGTCTTGTGGACACTGGGATGAGAGAGGACAAATCCAAGTGTCCAAAATGCAACCTTAAAAATAAAAACAACAACAACAAATCCATGTATCAAACAATACAAGCTTCTTTGAAAGTGAGTGAAAGCATACTTAATATTAGCTGTAAACATGAAAAGAAGCCAGGAAAATGTTTAAATTAAACTTAAAAGCACACTGAAGAGCATTTTTGAAAACAGACTTTATGAACAACAGAGATGTTACCCGTCTCTGAGAGCCAAATCTATAATTTCATTCTGTCACGGTAGTTTAACTATATTGTTTATACAGATTAAACTATCTCTACTAAAACATGAGGCAGGATTTTTTTTTTTTTAGTAATTCACATTAGAAGATATTACAGAGGCATACAGTAAATATCCAGAAGCAACGAATTATGACACTTAAGAATGTTAATCCAGACAAAAACATTTTCTAAAATTTAATTTCCTTGAAATAGAAATGAATGAGCACATCATATATTCTGCAAATAAAACATGGTAATTTTCAATAAGCCTAGGAAAGTATACCTAAAATACAATAAACTAAAGGATGAGAGTTACTCAGTATCAAAACTACGGTTCTTTCACACCTGAAGGTTACCAAACAGCATGCTTGCAAATTCTCTCTCTAGACCAAAGAAAATCCTTTCATGTCTTTCCTCACTGTGGTATTACAAGGTAAAGTTATACTGCCATACATTTCAAAAATTAACTTTCCACTAACTTGGGTAGATGTTTTTGCTTCTATTTTTAGGTTACACAGTCACCTTGCATAAAATCGTTAAAAGAAGCTTGGGTTTCCCTTTCATCCTTTCTGTAAATATGTATTGTGACAGAACTTTCATCTAGGCAAATCAGTCCTGAAAGACTCAGAAAATACTTAATATTTAAAACACTTAAGTTTTTTTGTCTTTTTTGTGAGGTAACTGTAAGTACCTTTAAATAATCCCAATACTCCCCTCTGTGGTCAAAGAAGGAAGAGCAATTATCGGAAGGAAGCTCTCAAATAAGCCAAATTCGATACTGCTCAATGGTGTTCCCCTCTGGGGCAGGAACTCTGTCTGTGGGAGGGTAAATATGGTACTGTGTACATAAACAAAGTGAATGGGAGAACAAAGACCGCCACCATCTGGAGAGCCTCTTTCCGTGGCATTATCCACATTACAAAAGACTTATCCTAGAGATCATCCAGGCCGATTTACACTAGAAGAAACATGACCAGAAAGCTCTCTTCTCCTGTCTCCCCATTCGGGCCCCTTCTATTATTATCTATGGATGGAAAGGCCAAATTATTGGATTTAATTAATAACCACTCCACCCTCAGTTCATCTTATTTATTAAAGGGTCAGAGTTCACGGGGCGCCTGGGTGGCGGATAAGTCAGTTAAGCATCTGACTTTGGCCCAGGTCGTGATCTCATGGTTCATGAGTTCAAGCC